AAAATTAAATATTATCAGCTCTAAAATACTTATAATTTGTTGATATCAATATAGTTTTGTACACATATATTATGTCATTACGTGTAAGAATTGTATTATTGTTTCCAGTTAAGTACAAATAACTATATTGAACCAGAAGGAGGTCAGTGGATAATACTTAACTAGCCATGTTCAAAAAAAATAAGAGTTTCAAAATATTATAATGCCTTAAAAAAAGCTCATAAGTGTATGAAAAAATGTATAGGCGAGACTCAAGCCCCTTAAATTTAAAGGGTTAGAAAGCCTATGTTTAAACAGTTACCTATATGGCTATATACTATACCATGGTACATGGTATAACACGTTTTACTATCATTGCATGGAACACCAGCAGCAAAAAAAGAAAATTAAATCTAACGACGTAAATATAAGTAAATATCAGGCAAAACAAGCAAAAACTCATTAAAAAGTGGGTTTAGAGTAAAAAACACATGGTACCTACTATGAAACTTATAGAAAACATAATTTTGGAGACAATTTAAATTATTCTAAATATATAAGTAGTTTGATATAAAAGGTACAAAAACTAATAACTAATACCATTTAGTATAAATACTAGGTGTATAAAAAAAAAGAGTATATTTTATAATCAATGCTAATACTTATTTCAAAAACGCTGATGGACATCCCGTCTCGTAATTATTGTTCTCTATACATTTTATAATAAATATTTTCACTCTAAAACCACTAGCTTGTTAATGCTGTATTGTTTTTTTTGTTGCGTGGACATGTTTTTAGCTCGGAAAATTATAGTTATTAAGCGCGTTGCATGCAGCGATTTGCTGTCTTTGTCTAACACACGTGTAACATAGGAATAACGACCTAAGCGCCTGACAAAAATTAAGGTATTTCTAATTGTTCGATTTAAAAAATGTAAAGATGTTTGAATTGGTATACAAGTTTACTTTGCATCGGTCGAAGCATACTTTTAATATTTTTAATACAATTTATAAAAAATTTAAAATATTTATTTTCATCAAAATATTGTTACAATTGAAAAAGTACTTCGGCCGATGCAAATTAAACTTGTATAGCAATTCAAACATCTTAACATTTTTTGAATCGAACAACTAGAAGTACCTTAATTTTTGTTAGGCGCTTAGGTCGTTATTCCTATGTTACACGTGTGTTAGACAAAGGCAGCAAATCGCCCCCTTAACAAAGTGATGGTGAAATTGGCAATTAGATCTATTGTTTATATCTTGTATATCACTATAATCTATGGTGATTATACTATAGGGAATTTATAAAACTCGAGTGTTACCACTGCTTTTGTAATATGATAAATATGTATTATAAATTATAATGAAATAAGTAGAAATTCGAGTATATATGAACATTACTATCTATATTTTCAAGATTGTTCTAAAATGTCTTTAAAAAAAGGCCATGGAGGGATTTGACCACCCATATTCTTTTTTTGTACACCCATGTGGCTATGTCACTGATTGTTTTACATAGATAAGTATATAATATATTGTAATCATAATTCATAATGTATAATAATACAAGCATAAGATAAACTCTAAATATAATATCAATAACATAAGAATCACATTTCTTGATATTTTCTGTAATTTTATAAACAATAAAACATTTTATTTTATACATCCTAAACCTAATAACGTGCTACCCATAATATTTTAAATTGGTGATTTCAATAAAAAATTAATATTATGTTAAAATAATCATTCAAAATGATACACAGAAAATGGTAATGAACAGTAAATAGTAATAATATTAATTATTAAACATACGTATTGTAAGTTAAGGAGTACCTATTACTAGTTAAGAAAAAATAAAACTCGACTAATTTTAAGCTTAGCCACTCAGGCATTCAATTTGTATTGCATTTGTTAATATATTAATCTATAGTATTATGTACATTTATTATTATGTAAATATAATTCTTTTAGAATACAGTTTTAAATACAAATATTATTTGAATATTTAAAATGTACGCTGTGTGCTGTATTTAAATGTTCACATATTTTTGTAATAACACTATCAGTTATAAAATGTTCTAACAATTAGCTTTAATGGTTAGATTTACCATCCTATGTGGAGCACTGTTATTATAAATGCCGCTTTTATTTGTAATCGTGCCCGAACATTTGAACTCTCTTATCTATAATGACGGCCTGTGTTCGATGTTCTGACGTCATCGCTTTTTTTTCCTATCTCACTTCACGTATGTAAATATTATACATAGGTATACCATATATATATATTATATGTTATATATAATATATATATATACATTATATATTATATTTATATACATACAACTCAATGAGAAAAGGACAGCCATTAGTTAGCCTAATATTTTATTATTTACTTATTACTTATTAAATTCTTTTAAAACCAAAATGAATTAAAACACTGATTATAATGGAAATCAATAATTTAAAAAATGATCAAATAGTCGAATAATTAAATTAAACACGGATACATAGTGACTTGTGACTAAAAATATCAATACATTTAACATTACATTACTTCTTAGCGATCATTAAAAGCACTGAAATTGCAATAAGTATAGCGTTATTACATCTGACATCGTTCTATGACATAAAACTACGTATTTTCTGTTCATTGAAGGAATTGATGTAAATGTTATATTAGCCAATTACACAGCGACTTACAAGCAAAAATATTAACTATACGTCTATACTTCATAAAAATACATAATACATAGGACATAGTTAGTACCATAAAACGTAAAACTATATTTTTGTTGAATCCATACTAATTTAAAAAATATTTGAACACAAAAAAAAAATGATTTGCCCTCCAAGCGAACAGTCAATAACGGATTTTGTTTTTATTAATATTATGTATAATATTTTTTCTTTCCCTCTCTCACTAGAAACGTTCCATGAACTTTGCACCGCGTTGGCGATAAGCTAACGCGCGACCGAACACTACTGCATATTATGCGAGGCTGCTCAGCATATTATACTAGAATCAAATGAAACGAAAAAACCTCTCTTATCTGCGAAGGCCTACGTGAACCTTTGACACGATTATCTCGAAGCTCGTTAAAAATCCATCGAATTGCTTCATCGTTCGGATAAACAAAACGTCACTCAACGTGAGTATTGAATTATCCGGGAAAAAAATTTAAGAATTAAACGCACACAAATATTTAAAAAATAAAAATAGTAACTTGGATGAGACTTGCCTTTCCTTCATAACATGGCAGAGCCCTTGGTAGATAAATTATAGGCAGAAGAGAAAAGTCGTTGATGTACCTGGTTAAGCGAAAACCGCAATACACGCGGCAAAACCGAGCGAGCAAAGTGTACTAAAACGACTTTTTATTCAACAAAATATACAAACCGAATAATAAACCTTATTATTTATCTTATCGTTAAGTGCATGTGTGTCGGAGGATAAGGCTCTTTTTTATTAATATTATGGGCGGCTCCGACTGATACGACGAGGCATATGGAACGTCATGATTACACGCTATCAAGTTGATGATAACGCACCAATGCTAAGGTCTGTGGCCAAAACATCGTCACCAAACGGTCACTCAAGTTTTGCTTGAACCCGGTTAGTGGTCAGTGAACTTGTTGAGATGGAATCTCGAGGATATTAACAGAAGTCATTAAAACAGCCATTCCCTCTAATGGCCAACCTTGACTTTGAAATCGGTCAACTCGGCTAAGTAGGTATTTAAAACTATAGTCTAATACTCTTATGTCTATAGCGTTACAGACGAAAATTATCTAACTTAAGCTACCCTAAATACAAACCAAGTTCTATGTTTCCGTAAATGTATCATAATTCGTATAAACTGCAATAAACTAAGCTCAATAAAAACCAAAAGAATAAATAAAATACTTCTAGTAAGTAGGTAGATAGGTATATTATTATTTACATTGTTCATCGACTTAGAATTCCTCACGATTCCTAGTGATTTTACGTAATAAACTGTTATTATACTATTAAAACTAAAATAAAATCATATTATACTCGATTAATTGTACAAATATCATGGGGCCTCTCATTGGGGCAGAACGTAAAAAATAACATAAATCGAACGCATAATAATATGAACTAATATTATGTAATAATGCATATAAATTCGTGGCCACAGAGTGTACAAAACAGTTACACATTTTTGGGAAATATTTCATTGTTCACTTCAATAAAGAACCAAAAAAACAAATTAATTAGCTACCAAGTAAAATTTAATAAGTTCTCTTACTTTTTAGTCAATAACTTTATTTTAATTCTTCCTACTGGATAATTATATAGTTTTTTAATAAACATTAATAAACAATAATAATATAATATTGCTGTAGTATTAAATAGTATCAACAAAATATTAATACTTTCTCCCTTACACATAATTAAAGATCAAGTAAAAACTTGGTTTATTATTTTCTGTGAAATTGTAAATGATCTTTTCGAACAAACAATACATTTTTTAAATGTATTTAAATAAAGCCCTTGTGTGACTTGGAAAATCATTATATTTTGACGATTTAGAACATTAGTTTAACACTTTCGTGTACGATGTCAAACACACAGCGAATAAAAAGCGATGAAATATAAAAAACGCCGGTATAGGTATTATGTTTTAATGGTATTGCGGTTAAAGGCTAACAGTAATCGGGCCTAAGAGCTGAGAGGATTCCGTACATAATATCCGATCGCAAGCCAATTGTAAGGTATAGAGACGTATTTAAAACATAATAGTAAAAACTAAAAATATAAACGCAAGTTCGGTAAAACGGCTGTAAAAATTACTTCACCAGAATCAAGAGTGTCGGTGAAAAATTAATAACAAATGTGAATAAAAATGTTCACATTTACTTTGCCAAAATAAAAATAATAATCGTCCAACGTCACATAAGATAAGTCGAGTTTACAAACAATAGGAACAGCCAACACGGTTATATAGTTATAATATGTTATAGTAGATATAAAAACAACGTCTGTGCACTTACCAAAAGCTCTCAAGTAAGTGGCATTATTGTTGCTGGCCGGCATGTCGCGGCTGTGGTATCGTCCCGCGGTGCAGATAACGCCGGTCGAACAACGCGGGAGGAGATAAGGCAGAAAAACGCGTATTAAAAAAAAAAACAAATAAATAATAATAATAATACTCAGTTATCGTTTTTACTATTATCGTACATATTATTATTACTATTATAATCAAACGCTAGCGGTTTAATGGGTGAAAACTTTCGATAAAAACACGTCACGCTGCGCCCGCGGTACGGTCAGTGGTGGTGTGTGCGTAGTGTGCGAACGTGCGGTGTGTGAATGCCGCTGCGGTGCAGTCGTCGGCGAGCCGAGAGAGTCGGGAGAGCACGAAGTACACCGCGGCCGTACTATGATCGGTGCGGAGCGGCGCAGAGAGGAGGAAAACGAAAAATCGGACGGACGTGAAAACCAACAATTATTATTAAACAAAATAATAATAATAATAACGATGTACTTGTACAAATTTTTTTACGAAACAAAATAACGACCCGACAATATATACGCTATAAATATACGTAAGACATTATCATAAGATGACAGTCGGAATATCGATGGTGGTGGATTTTTTCGTTTTAAGTGTTGTACACTGCGCAGGCGCCGGCCACCGCTGTTGGACGACGGCCGCAACCGGTGGTACGCGTCGGTCGGCGTGACAATCGGGCGCAACAAAGTTATGCGACGTAATATTATTATTATTATTATTACGGATGATGAGTCGGTCGGTGGCTGGTGGGGGCCGGGGAGCCTGAATGGAATATTGCCGAGACGTTCGCGTTCGTGCGTGCGTCCGGATCGTTTGGTGCGGCTCGTGTCGAGTTTCGGACGACGCGCTGTGTAAACAAGTGGCGTCGGTTGAGGCGATTTTGTTATTTCATCCGTATATGTATTACAACAATTTATTCGACAAGTAAAACGTGTACAGACAGTAAGTTGTATATGTCTCTGGAGACGTGGCAGCGACAAACTCGCAAGTAAGCGGCGATGATGCTGGACGGTTTATTGCGGTGCGCGGTGCGCGAGCGACGACGACGGCTGCAGTTCGAATGGGCAACAGGCGCGCGATCGATCTCGGAAAAGTGAACCGGTTCTAGGACGCGGCGCGCGGCAGCCCCGGCACCGAGACGCGGACACTCGCCCGGCCGCCTACCGCGGCGGCCGGAGCGCGTGCAGCCGTCCGGGACTGCCCACTTTTCCGTCACTGGTCCATTGGCGTAAGAGCCCTCTTCTCCGCCACCGCAGCATCCGCCACCGCCGACGCACGAGTTCCCGCTTTACCACCCTCCCCACCACCTCCCTCCCCATCCGACAGGCAACAGTTATTGTTACGACGAGGGATACTTAACGATATTATACGACGACTGATGGTTAATTTAGAAAAGAATTTATTAACAACTTTACATGGAGATCAATATTTTATTAGAACGGGTGTATAAATTCCCCTTCCCAATTATTATTTACATTTTAAAACTTTGTGGTATATCATATATAAATTTAATACTTAATCGCGTTGGCACGTAGCTGGTGTACTAGTGTAAGCCATATATATATAAATATTTTTAAATCTTCCTTCTCCTGAAATCGGGACCAGAGACAGGGGCCTTGCAAATGTTAGAGTGTAAATTATACCGTAGTCAGTTAACTAAAGCATGACAATTATAACAATTCTACTGCAGATCTAGTATACACGTGGCTTTAGGTTTATAGATATATAGATATATATTATATACTATAATATTATGACGTATAGTATATGAATAACACTACATAAGCGACTATAATGTGCAATAATAAGTACATCATATTTATGTATATTATACTAAGAAATTATAACAGTCGGACGGCGCACAACTCGACTTTATAACCTATTAAATATTTTATTTTAATTATGTTTTCCAATGCTATATATTGATCATATTATAATATAGTACATAAATTCACGAACATACATACATACACATACGCATAGACATACACATTATAAACTATAATATGTAAATTTAATGAGTTCCAAATAATGGTCCCAAATGTCCAATTCTTCTAGGAATCTTTAACTTTTAAGAATGATATTATAGGGGGTTTGATTTACCTTGACATCCGATGCGTAATCATCAGAAACCTGGACACACGTTTTGATCGATCGGAAGTAAACAAAACTAGCTTAGCGAATAGATACCCGCATAAAATAAACAACACTTAAATTATATATAAATTATAATAATTTATTATGTACTTGCTCCAGAACGGAGATGCAAAAACAGTTCGATCGGGAATCGATATGAGCAGGCCCCCATATCAAATTTTGGAGCTTGAACTAAATGTTTTTTGCTGGCCCCTAAAAAATATTATTTAATATATAGTAAGTATTTCTATCAACATTTCAAAAACTACTTATTTATTTCAATGGGCCCCTAAATACCCGGGCGCCTGTACTCCAGGTCTAACAGCCCCCCCCCCTTCTGGTGGCCCTGGATACGAGTACATGAAAGATGCGAAGAAATCGGAGGACGCGACAAAAATGGACGTGAGGAAAATCTTCAGAGAAACGACAGTTTTTCTAAGACAGACTAAGGAAAACATCGCGGTTATTCACTCGCGACTCACGAGTAAAATATCGACGCGCCGATCGCTTCTACCGAGTATACCACTGTGTGACCCTGACGAGTGAGGTTGAAATCGGTTTCAATATTTTCTATTGATTACTCGGTTAGTAATATCATTGAATACAGAATACCTGAACTATATTAACCCAATTAAGTATAGACTATTATAGTCTATAATTCTAGTCAGTTGTAGCCACCAGCCGTTTTCTTCACATCAATCTACCACCGTTAATTTAGAATAATATGTTATCGTATTTGAGCATATTATAATGTGTGTAAAGCTTCTGTAAATTAGTAATTAGTAACGCGCAGTATTATTATGCCAAAGTTCTACTTATCGGTTCTCCGAACTTCACCGACCGACAAGTCCGTGAATGCGTCCGAAAATTGTCATCGAAAACTCATACAATTTCGATCTTGGATGAGACTTATTCCAACCCCCCCCCCTCCATCACACTAATTATCTATAAATGAAAGTGAATCATCATTAAAAGTCGTACACATAGTATGTATGTAGTATGTACTCGACGAATGTTATGAAATGGAGAAGAAATAATTTCCTATTTTTCTGCTTTTTTGCTTTCTTTCCTCCTTCCTGCTTTGACTTTTATGTCCTATGATAATCGCTCTCTGATATAATAGTTTTTTCACTGACTTTTATATTTTTGTAAGTAGGTAAATATAATTTATTTTAAAAGTGCTTGACAGTGGCGTCATTTGAGGGGTAGACATATACTCCTGCAGTTTAATTCAAAATGCAGGCCAATGCGGGCCAGTTGTTGATGAACAACATAACTATTTTTATAAATTTGAAGAAATTATATCGTGTAGGTAGGTACTAGGAAATTATATTGTCACAACAATAATTGCTATTTGTAGTTATTAAGATCGAGTAGGTATATAGACGCGTGGGCGTGATTTGGTGTAAGTGGTGTGATTGCGTGTTTGTTGTATGATGGAACCTAATATTATTAAACCAGCGACCAGGTATTTTTTAAATTCCAATTATTATTATATATTTTTCTTCTTCTGTTGAACGGATATATATATAGGTACAACAAGTCAACAACTATAGTAATATTATTTTTAAACTTAATTTTTTTCATTTCAATGGTAATATATATATTATGTCCGAGGGCACTTGCAGGGGCGGCAAAGGGGCTATTGCCCCCTGGTTAATTGCATGTACCTACTTTAATATCAATATCACTATAACTAATATTAGTAATTTTTGTCTTTCCTCGGGCTGGTGGAATTTTATAATGCTGGCAAACTTGTATAATATGTCAACTAAGTACTAATACAAAATAAATCCTGGAACAACGAATGAATTTATGATAGTTTAATTATGAGGCTTGTGCGTACTTACAAATTTGACTTTGCAGTCTACGTATTTTAATTCCATAACAATATTTTCACAAATATAAACTTACTTGGTTAGATTAGGTTACTATTATACACACAGCGTATTCAGAGACGTTTTCATTTTTAAAATCAAATACTATTGATTAAACCTTTAATTTATTGACTATTTAAATTCGAATTATATCGATCATTATAATACTATAAAAGTAATAACTAATAATAAATATAATTTAGACGACTAATTTAATATATTATAATATAATTAATATTAATAATATATATATTATATAGGTACAGTAAATACTGTAAATAACTATAATAGATCACGATTTAAGATAGTACTATCTTAAACCGTGCTATAGAGTAAGGACTACGATAATGTAGTAATAGATATCAATCAGTCCCTCGAGATATTATTTTGATTATCAAAACATTTTATATTGATAATTCTAAATTGTTAAACTAAAATTATATATAAAGCTATTAAGAAATCCAACATGATATACGGGCATCCGATAAAACGGTCTTCAGTGGTAAGTTACAGACGGCAGAGCTTTGCAGTGTTACATTAATATTTAATATACCTATAATGGGGTGACTAATGGGTTAGGAGAGAAGTAAATATAATATATATTATATTTTATATATAGCCCTTCATAATATTGGTTTTTCGATTCTAGAGTTCAGAGTTATAACATTTTTTAAATGTTCTTTTTGTTCTTTTGTGTTCACCACTAGAGACTAGAAACATGTTAGTCATCGCATTTTGAAACAGAAAGTTTGCGTCATTGATGGTTAATGGTAGTAAATTTCATATAGTTGGTACTTTCGAGAGTCGAAAATAAATAATTCCTAGAATATTTTTACCTGATCGGGAAAAACAAAAAAATATTTACCGAAAAACTAGAATATTTACTCTAAGCCAGTTTTTGACGAAATAGATTCTGTTTGTTTGTTGGAAAGTTAGAACACTTGAAAGTAATTTCAAAATGGCTAACTGTATCGACAATATAGTTATGTTAGCATTTTATAATAATT